TGAGGGAGCCCCACCCACATAACTATCCCTTCAGACACTTCAACTGATCATCGCTGTGGTGGTGGCTGGGTTTTCTCCGAATTTTACCCCTATCCTTGTCCTCATTCACTAAGGGGGGATTTGGGGTTCTGGGGTAACCAAAAGCTCAGGTCAAACAGATCTTTGAGCCCCTTTGTTGCTTGTCCTGTCACTTCATAGCACCTGTGTGGCTTCTCTCCGGAGCCTGTCACGTGGGGACAATGGGATGACCTACCTCAGGGTGGGTATGAGGAGGAATGCCGGCACGCAGCACGGTGCCCGGCACACGCAGGCCCTGGTCTACGTGAGTGGCTGTTGTCCCTGAAGGATCGGTGTCGGCCGCTTCGGGGTAACACCCGGACACGCCCCGGTGGCAGGACTTTGGCCCTGGCTCAGGGTTAACTCCTCGCTCGGCTGCTCCAGCAGGTGGAGCAGGTCCCGTGGGGAGGTTCCGGGTGCTCGCCGCTCTCCACGCCGGGTGACCCCAGTCCCCCTGCTGTGTGCGGAGGCGGCTGCGGGTGCTCAGGGGGTCTGAGCGGAGCGGCGGGGCCGGGAGGAGACCCACAGCCACAGTCCCGTGCCCAGGCTGCAGGCCCAGCAGACTCCAGCTCCTTCCTTCCCGTCTGCAGCGCGGGGAGCGGCTGAGCCACGGCCCGGCTGGCGCGGCTCCAGCTCCGTGTTCTGGATTCCTCGACAGTCTAGACTCTAGACGCACAGCCGGGCAGCGGCTCCTGTTCCTTTGCCTGTGGGAGGGAGATGAAGCCGTTATTCGTGTTTTAGAAACGGACGGGGTTCTGAGCCAGCATCGCTGCAGCATTGCTCTGGAATAAACCTCAATTGGGCCCTGGCTGGTTTGGCTCAGTGGATAGGGATGTGGGAGGTTGGCCAGCCAGGGGGGAGGGGGACCACTGGAGGGCTCCAGGGCATGTCCAGCCTGTCTCGCTCGGTCCCCATCGGCCAGACCCCAGCAGCGGGCTAACCTACTAGTCGGAGCATCTGCCCCCTGGTGGTCAGTGCACATCATAGCGAGCAGCTGAGCAGCCTTAGCATATCATTAGCATATTGTGCTTTGATTGGTTGAATGGGAGACCAGACCCCCAGACACTTAGCATATTAGGCTTTTATTATATAGGGCAAGGCTGCTATGAGCATGGATGTGCAAATATCCCTCTGGGACCCTGCTTTCGATTCTTTTGGGGAACTCCCTCTTTCCCAGAGGTTTCATGTCATTCAACTGTGGTCTGAAAATAGTAAACAGGAAAAGCCCAGAAATAAGAATACAAGAATGCAAGTTTTAAGTGGCAGGCCGTGCTGAGTGCCGTGATGAAACCTGCTGGTCCCACCCGGGATCTGAGTCCCACCCAGGATCTGAGTCATCCCTGTCTCCAGGATCCCCACCCGGGGGCATAACCCTTATTTCCTTAATCACGGCCTCAAAGTGCAAGAGTGATTGTGCTGTGGCAATTCAAAGAGGCCAGGGAGACGCCCTAAAGTGTTCCCTTGTAAGTGAAAAGGTGAAAGTCCTCGGCTTAATGAGGAGAGGAAAAAAATTGTATACTTTTTTTTTAAGGCCTCCAGGAAGCGTGACTCTTCCCTCTGGGAGATTGTGAAGAAGGAAAAAGAAAGTTGTGCTTGTTTTCTGTTTTGAAAAAAAAAAAAATTTTTTTTTTGTATTGCTTGTTAGAAGAGAGGGAGAGGGAGGGAGAGAGAAACATCTATGTGAGAGTGAACCACTAATCAGCTGCCTCCTATGAGCCCCCAACTGCACGGGGGTCGAGCTGGCAACCCGGGCATGCCCCCTGACCGAGAATGGAACCAGCAACCTTGCAGAGTATGAGATGACACCGAGACACACCAGGCAAGGTGGAGATGCCATTTTTTGTTTGTTTGTTTGTTTTGTTTTATTTTAAATATAGTTTTATTGACTTCAGAAACAAAGGGAGGGAGAGATAGGGCAATAGAAACATCAGTGAGAGAGAATCGCCTATCAGCTTCTCCCTGCACGCCCCACACTGGGGATCCAGCCCACCATCCGGGCATGTGCCCTTGACCGAGACTCGAACCAGGACCTGCTGGTTCATAGGTCGATGCTCCATCACAGAGCCACGCCAACCAGGGTGAAGATGCAGCTTTAATGAAGGCAGGGAAGGGCCTCCATGGGAGACCAGAGGCAGAGGGAGCAGCAGCCTGGACAGATAACCTGGAAAAGAGCTTTGCAGCCGAAACCGGTTTGGCTCAGTGGATAGAGCACATGTGTCAAACACAAGGCCCGCCAGGCCTTGCAATGTGGCCCACACCGCGCTGTCATCACTGCACTCCGCTGTGTTTCCATCACAATGACAGTTTATGACTGTTCAGTAAACCATTCGGCCCGCGATTTAGGCTGGATTTTAGATTTTGGCCCCTTCTCTGATTGAGTTCGACACCCCTAGGATAGAGCATCGGGCTGCGGATTGAAGGGTCCGAGGTTAGATTCCAGTCAAGAGCATGTGCCTTGGTTGCGGGCACATCCCCAGTAGGGGGTGTGCAGGAGGCAACTGGTCGATGTTTCTCTCTCATCGATGTTTCTAATTCTCTCTCTCTCTAACTCCCTTTCTCTCTGTAAAAAATCAATAAAATATTAAAAAAAAAAAAAAAAAAAGAGCTTTGCAGACGGACGGCAAGTGCGCAGGCCCCGGGGGACAGGGACACGGCCACTGCGGGGGGAGGAGGTGAGCGCAGAAGTCGGGGAGCGCGTGCGAGAGGCACTGACCACGGGCTCTCTCCACAGAGGGCGGACGCCGGGTCCTCCCCCTCGGCCTCCAGGGCCCAGCACTCGGGAATGGGGATGCAGGGAGGACGCCATCGTCCTGAAGGAGCAGGGGGCTGTGATGGACTGGGGGATGTCACCTTGCGCATACACAAAGGCCTTTCATTTAGGTTTGACCCTATCGGAGAGGCCGAGAGTTGGATAGCCAACCCGGAAGAGACCGGAAAGGCCCGTGGGACAGAGGAAAAGGGGGTCATGGAAACTGCACAGGAAGTGAGGTTTGATAATTTTTTTTGGGGGGTGAGGGGTGGGGAGGATAATGGGAAATTGGGAGGTTGGCCAGCCAGGGGGGAGGGGGACCACTGGAGGGCTCCAGGGCATGTCCAGCCTGTGGGAGGTTCTTGAGCCAAGTGGCTGTGACAATTAATGAAAAAGATTTCAGTTTGGGTCCTGGCTGGTGTGGCTCAGTGGATAGAGCGTCAACCTGCAGACTGAAGGGTCCTGTGTTTGATTCTGGTCCAGGGCACGTGCCCGGGTTGTGGGCTGGATCCCCAGGAGGCAGCCAATCCATGATTCTCTCTCATCATTGATGTATGTTTCTCTCTCTCTCCCTCTCCCTTCCTCTCTGAAATCAATTAAAAATATATTTGGGGGGAAAATTAGGTTTTGGGGAACGTCATCAACTAGGGTTGGAAGGACAGAGCATGAAGATGGGGCGCCGACCAGGGCAGGTGAGGGTGGGGATGCAGGTGGGGGGAACACAGGAGAAAAGCAGGGAAGACTTACAGATGAGAATGTGGATCCCACCACGGAGCAGGCTCCGGAGCTGTGGGGACAAGAATTGGAGATGTTCTGTCTAAGACAGAGGGGGTGCCCGGGCCGGTGGCTCAGATGGTTAGAGCATCGTCCTGATACGCTAAGGTTACGGGTTCGATCTCTGGTCAGGGAACATACAAGAATGAATCAATGAGTGCATCAAGAAGTGGAAGAACAAATCTACATTTCTCTCTCTCTCTCTCTCTCTCTCTCTCTCTCCCTCCCTCCCTCCGTCCCTCCCTCCCTCCCTCCCTCCCTCTCCCTTCCTCCCTCTCTCTCATCCTTGATGTTTCTATCTCTCCCTCTCCTTTCCTCTCTGAAATCAATAAAATTATTTTTTAAAAATAATTTACAAACAAACTGAGGAGGGGAGTGGAGTGGGGGGGGGGGGGAGTTTGAGGTCCTGAGGAGATGGTAGAATCAAAGCTTCCCATCGGAGCTTTGGAGCAGGGAATGTTGCATCCATCGCCATCCTTTATACACTTTTAATATATTTTATTGATTTTTCCCTTTGCAAAACAGAAAGCCCCTGGAGAGTCTGAGTGCCAGTAAGATGTGCCCCACAGGATGGGATCCAGAGCAATCCATGTGCCTTCACAGCCTCATTGTCTGGACACGTGTCCGTGTCCGGGTATGTCACGGTCCGATGTCTTTTCTATGGAAACCCACTGTCTTGAGGAAATCCTCTTTCCTGCCAGCCACCCCAGTGACCCCCGGGGCCAGCAGGATCCCGGGAGACGGTGCTCATTCTGCAGGGATCTGGGGGGGACGCACGCACCCCGCCGGGCTCACGCAGCCCGTGACAGCTGGCTGTGGTTCTGCCCTGGTTGCAACTCATTCCTGTCTCCCGGGGCCAGACACCACTCTGAGAAGTTCAAGTTCCAGCTTGGGAGACAATTGCCAAGAGGAAATATGGCCGGGCTGGTACGGGGGTCCCTCCACGCCTGCTTCCCCGTGTCCCCAGACTGCCAGCCCTGCTGGGAGACAGGGCGAGACAGAGCCCGCAGCGGGCGGACAGACGGCCGTTTCTGAGACTCCCTGGACCGACGGGGCTGATGAGGGCTCTGGTCCTGCTTCCCTGCTTCCCCAGGCTGGGCTGGGGGCTGGCTCCCCGCTCCCCCACCTCCTGTCTCCATGTCCCTCCAGCCAGCTCTCCGGCCCCACACACACAAACACCCTCCAGTGCGAGGCTGGTGGCAGCCCAGAAGCTGGGGCGCATTCCCTGAGTTCCGATCCCCCGAGATGTTTACTCTGGGGGCGGAGGGTGAGAGAGGAAAGGGCGATGTTGCAATCCGTTCCCTCCACGTCAGGCAGCCGGCAGTCAGCTGAGCGATTAGGTGGCACCCGCCCGCCCACCCGCCGGCGGGCAGGAGCAGAGGCAGGGCAGCGGGACATGGAGCCTGCCCTCTCCGCAGCCCTGCCCTCAGGCTTCCCCGTCTTCCGAAGGGACATGGGGCAACCTGGCCACGTGCTCGGTCGAAAACGAACCTGAAACCGAAGCGGCTGACGGCGGGGTCAGGATTCCCCGCTCTGAAGACAGGAGGTGAGTCACCCTGAAGAGGGACGTAGCCCGCAGGCAGCAGGGAAGTGGCCCCAGAGAGGCAGAGGCGCGAGAAGCAGGAAGCAGGCAGGTGAGGGTGGGCGCCGGGATGGGGGCGTCAGGGCCTGTTTTTGGGGGGGCTGGGAGGTCAGGGGAGGTGGCCTCCTGGCCCTGTGTCTGCGCAGCAGGACCACAAGCCCTGGCACTGCCAGGCCAGGATGCCGGCAGGGTGGCAGGAAGCCAACTTCCCTTTGCCAGGTGGCAAGCGTGATAAAGGCGGGGCGCAGGGCGCAGGCGGGTTTGGAGGTGGGGGGCAGCCCCCCGAGGGCTGATGCCCTTCCCGCCTCCTGCTCCCCATCCAGTGCCGGGCAAGCATGGCGAGCAGCCTGGAGGCGGTGGCCATAGACTGCGAGATGGTGGGGCTGGGGCCCCACAACGAGAGCGGCCTGGCGCGGTGCAGCCTGGTGGACGCCGGGGGCAACGTGGTCTATGACAAGTTCATCCGGCCCGAGGGCGTCATCACTGACTACCGGACCCCCGTCAGCGGCGTCACCGCCCGGCACATGGAGGACGCCACCCCCTTCGCCCAGGCCAGGCTGGAGGTGAGTGAAGGAAGGCGGGATCCAGAAGGAGGGGGGGGGCACCCCAACACAGACACACCTCTCTGGCGCCTTCCCCGAGGGCGGGATCCCTGAGCTGTCCCTCTCACCCCCTGCTTGGGGAGCCAGGGAGTGCAGACACCTCTGGGCGTCCCCGTGCTGCCCCCCACCTGTGCTCCTGGCCCCCCTGCTGGTCTGGGATGACAAACTAGGGTCCCACCCAATGGTCCCCACACGGATCTGGGGGGCTGGTCCCCCATTCTTTCCTCTACACCCACTGTGGAGAAATGGGCGGGTCCGGGGCGTAGGCCCTCCTGGTCCCTAAAACGCTGACCAGAGGGCAGGGCTTGCTCCCTGGCCGGCTGTCAGCGCGTCAGCTGTCTGTCTGTCCATCTGGGGCCCCCAGACCCATCCCCTCCTTCAGCCGCGCCAGGTTCAACTTTCCGTTTCTCAGAATCACTAAACAGAAAGCAAAGGCAGGCTCGCCGCAGGTGGCCAGGTTTCAAAGAGCGAACGCACCGCGCTGGTTTCTCGGCAGCTGGGGTTTGGGGATGTCCGCGAGGAACAGAGAGAACGGGGGTGTGTCTCAGCTTCCCACGCCTCTGAGCCAGGCTCAGGTGCTGGAGAGAAAACCACAACAATAGGTACTGTGTTTGGGGGTTGTTTTTAATCCTGACCCAAAGGGCGTGTTTTCATTAGAGAGAGACATACACACACACACACACACACACACACACACACACACACAGAAAGAGAGAGAGAGAGAGCTTTTTAATGTTCCATCTTTACTCTTTTTTTTTTAATGCTAAGGGACACGAGTTTTTTGTTTCTTTGTTAGTTTTTAATATATTTTATTGATTTTTCACAGAGGAAGGGAGAGGGACAGAGAGTTAGAAACATCGATGAGAGAGAAACATCCATCAGCTGCCTCCTGCACACCCCCCATTGGGGATGTGCCCGCAATCAAGGTACATGTCCTTGACCGGGATCGAACCCGGGACCCTTGAGTTTGTTCGCAGGCTGAGGCTCTATCCACTGAGCAACCCGGTCAGGGCCATCTTTACTTTTTTTTTCATCTTTATTGTTGAGATGTGTCCCTTTTCCTCCCTCCACCTGGTTCCTGCCCAGCCTTCACCACCCTACCGTCCGTGTCCATAGGTGAGAGACAGAGAGGATGTGATGAGAAAGAAACATCGATCAGCTGCCCCCTGCATGCCCCCCCGACTGGGGATCACACCTGTCACCTTTGGGTGTACGGGACGGCGCTCCCGCAACGCCGACATAGCGGCCGGCCAGGGCGCCACAGCTGCTGTGCACTGAGCACTGGCTCTGGGTTCCTGATTCTCCGTCTCCAGCGCTTTCATGCCTCACACAACCGCCTGCCGAGATGGGGTCCCAGGAGGCACCTCGGGTCTGACCCCGGGCTGGTTCCTCCGCCTCTCCGCACCCAGTGCCCACACCCAGAGAGGAAAACAGGGGTGACGACGGTCGCGATGTCATGGGGTGCTTGTGGGAGGCGCCTCTAGGGTAAGGTGACCAGATGTCCCGCTTTGGGCAGGACAGTCCCGGTTTTTAACAATTTGTCCCGCGTCCCATAGCGTTTTTAAAAAGTCCTGATTTTTGGACTTTTTTAAAATGCCGCGGGACATGGGACAAATTGTTAAAAACCGGGACTGTCCTGCCCAAAGCGGGACGTCTGGTCACCTTACTCTAGGGGCTCGCATTAGCCACTGTGACTGTCGGCCCGCTAAGCACAGAAATTGAGGCTCACTGGGACCCCTGGGTGCACTGCCTGGCTAGAGCCACCGAGCACAGGACCCCCGCTGGGTGGCTTACACAGCGGGCGTGTGTGTCTCACCGTTCTGGAGGCTGGAAGTCTGAGAGCGAGGTGTCAGCCAACGGAGCTGTTCTTCTCCTTCTTCTTTCTTCCTCCTCTTCCTCTTCCTCTTCTTTTTCTTCTCCTCCTCCTTCTTCCTTCCTCCTCCTCCTCCTCCTTCTCCTTCTTCTCCTCCTTCTCCCCTCCTCCTCTTCCTCCTCCTCCTCCTCTTCCTTCTTCTTCTTCCTTCTTTTCTTTCTCCTCCTTCTCCCCTCCTCCTCTTCCTTCTTCTCCTTATTCCTTCTTCCTTCTTCTTCTTCTTCTCTTTCTCCTCCTCATCCTCTTTCTTCTTCTCCTCCTCCTTCTTATTCTTCTTCCTCTTCCTCCTTTCCCTCTCCTTCCTCTTCCTCCTCCTCTCCTCCTCCTCCTCCTCCTCCTCCTCCTCCTTCTTCTTCCTTCTTTTCTTTCTCCTCCTTCTCCCCTCCTCCTCTTCCTTCTTCTCCTTATTCCTTCTTCCTTCTTCTTCTTCTACTCTTTCTCCTCCTCATCCTCTTTCTTCTTCTCCTCCTCCTCCTTCTTATTCTTCTTCCTCTTCCTCCTTTCCCTCTCCTTCCTCTTCCTCCTCCTCTCCTCCTCCTCCTCCTCCTCCTCCTCCTCCTCCTCCTTCTTCTTCTTCTGCTTTAGTTTATTGATTAAGAATGGGAGAGCAATATCAAGAAGAGAGAGGCCCTGGCTGGTTTGGCTCAGTGGATAGAGTGTCGGTCTGCATACTGAGGGTCCCTGGTTCGATTCCCAGTCAGGGCTCAATCCCCAGTAGAAGGCGTGCAGGAGGCAGCCATCCATGATTCCCTCTCATCATGGATGTTTCTCTCTCTCCCTCTCCCTTCCTCTCTGAAGTCAATAAAAATATACATTTAGAAGAAGAAGAAAAAGAGACGGGTCAGCTCAGGGGCTAAGGAGAGGCCAAGGACACTGAGAGGAGCTCCCCACGCTCAGATCCCCACTGAGCAGGCAGGTGGGCGGCTGGACCCCCATCCTTCCTCCGCCTCCTCAACCTCCCTCCCATCAGATCGACAGAAAGCAGAAGAACCGAGAGCAAGGGGATAGACAGAAGGCAGCAAAGAACCACTTGTGGCATCTCTGGGTGTGGACTTTCAGGCAGTTCCCTGGACACCCTGGGGGTCCTCGTCCAGCCTTGGTGCCAAAATGCTTTGGTTCTCATCACCTGAGGGTGATGCCAGGCCCAGTGCTTCCCGTGAGTGGCGCGCCGCCCTGCCCAGAGCGGGCACCGAGCCATTCCCGGAGCGAGGCGGGAATCTGAAATGGGCCACTGGACCCACAGCTGGGCTTCCCGCTTCCTGCTCCATCACTGGCAGGCCTGTGTGACCTTCCGAAAGTGATGGGTCCTTTCTTTTTTAAATATATAGACTGATGAAGGAATGGAGGAATGGACATAGGAATAATGGATGAATGGCTACAGGAAGCAGAGAAGGAATGGAGAAATGGACACAGGAACCAATGATGAAATGGAGGAGTTGAAACTAATGAAGGAATGGAGGAGTGGACACAGGAACTAATGAAGTAATGAATGAATGGATAAAGGAACCAATGAAGGAATGAATGAATGAATACAGGAACTAATGAAGGGATGAATGAATGGATACAGGAACCAATGAAGGGATGAATAAATGGATACAGGAACCAATGAAGGGATGAATGAATGGATACAAGAACCAATGAAGGAATGAAAGAATGGATAAAGGACCAATGAAGGGATGAATAAATGGATACAGGAACCAATGAAGGGATGAATAAATGGATACAGGAACCAATGAAGGGATGAATGAATGGATAAAGGAACCAATGAAGGGATGAATAAATGGATACAGGAACCAATGAAGGAATGGAGAAGTGAATACAGGGACTAATGAAGTAATAAGTGCATGGATACAGGAACTAATGAAGGAATGGATGAATGGATACAGCAATGGAGGAGTGAATATAGAAACTAATGAGGGAATAAATGAATGGATATAGGAACTAATGATGGAAGAAATAAATGGATATAGGAAAAATGAAGGAATAGAGGAGTGAATCAGAAACTGATGAAGGAAGGAATGAATGGATACAGGAACTAATGAAGGAAGGAAGGAATGGATATAGGAAAAATGAAGGAACGGAAGAGTGGATCAGGAACCAATGAAGGAATAAAAGAATGGATATAGGAACTAATGAAGGAATAAATGAATGGATACAGGAACTAATGAAGGAGTGGAGGAGTGGATCAGGAACTAATGAAGGAATAAATGAATGGATACAGGAACTAATGAAGGAATAGGTGATGTCCACGCTCACAAGAGACAGACAGGCCCTGGACTGCTGGCCAGGGTCCTCCCGCTGTGAGTCAGTGGGCCCCAGTGACTTTTGATCTGGAAAATACTTTTGGAACGAGAGTGAATCACAGTGGAAGGAGAGGATACAGGCAGACATCCGGGTACCCACGGCTCTGCAGCCCTGTCCTCTGCTGGCAACGTGGTCTGACAATCCCCGCCTCCCAGAAGCCGTCTTCCCGGTTCCAGAAACCTTTGTGGAGTGCCCTCTGCTCTGAGACCAATGACATTCATTCAGCCACCATCACAGGGGCAGGCTCAGGTGCGCCTCGGCTCTCAACCTGCCAGCTGTGTGACCCGAGCAAGCGTCTGAACCTCTCTGATCCCTGGGCCCCGCCCTCCGTAAAATGGAACTAAAATGACTCTTGTCATGACGGGGTGAGGAAAGTACCTGGCCGGGTGCCAGGATGAGGAAGGCAGATAGATCGATGTCCCCGCCCCCCACCCCTCTCCAGTTCTTCTCAGTTTCAGCATTTCTACCTCCTGTGTGTGATGCACCTGCCTCATTACACTGACGCTTTCCCCTCCCCAGCCCGGCCTCACAATGCCAGGGGAGCCCTGGCTCTAGCTGGCCCCTGGAGGCTCCCCTTACAGATGAGAATGGGAGCCCAGAGAGGGTCTTTAACCTCCCTGAGGACACACAGCAAGCCCCAGCTCAGCATTTTGCCCTGCAGGGTTGCTGCTCTCCCCTTTCCCCTGCTTCCTTATCCTTCCTCTGATTGTCCACCCCCGCACCCCCTTATCATACTTGTCTCATGAGGAGTCCTGCGGTGCTGATCATAGCTCCCCGGGGACCCTCCGGCTCGGGAAGTGATGGATTTCCCAGGAAAGGACCCCGCCATGACTGGGCCCTACAACAGCTGGGACCCCATGTGGATGCCTCTGGAATGACATGCTCCCGTGGGACCCTGTGTGAGCTGGGCCTGAGCCAGCCCCCAGCGGGGAAACAGGCCACACTGTTTGCAAACACAGGATGTCAGCAAGGGAAGGGGTGTGACCGCAGCGGCAGGCGCACCTCCCCACTCTCCCACGCCCCTGCGTTCTCGGCAATGCTGCCCGCCAGCGCCCTTCCCTCCGCGCACAGGCCCCGGGCCCTCCCTCGCCGCCTGCTAAAAACTCCAGGTCTCAGCGAGATGCCCCCAACCGCATCCTGAACCCCAGTGGGAGACGGCACTGGTGTCCCTCAGGGGCGCGCAGCTTCGGTCCTCAAACGAGCTTCCCCTAGTCTCGTGGTCGGCAAACTGCGGCTCGAGAGCCACAGGCGGCTCTTTGGCTCTTTGCCACGGCCTGGGCGGGTCTATTTTGAAGAAGTGGCGTTAGAAGAAGTTTCAGTTTAAACAATGTGGCTCTCAAAAGAAATGTCAATCGTTGTGCTGTTGATATTTGGCTCTGTGGACTCATGAGTTTGCCGACCACTGCCCTAGTCCCAGTGTCCAGCAGGCTGCGTCCAGGGAAGGCCCCAACCAAACCACGAGCATGGCGGGCGGGCTGGCTACACGGCCTGCGGACGCCTCTTCTCCTTTGGTGCCTGGTGTGTTTGAAGTTCAGAGAGGGACAGTGCTTTGCCCAAGGTCACACAGCAGGTCCAGGAGGGGCTGCTCCCGCCTTGCCAGCGCAGGCCGGCGCCAAGTGGCCCCAGACCCACCCTGGAGGCCCCCGGGTGATGCGTGTTGGGGGGATTGGGTGTCTTCCCCGCCAGATCCTGCAGCTCCTGCGAGGCAAGCTGGTGGTGGGTCACGACCTGAAGCACGACTTTGACGCTCTGAAAGAGGACATGAGCAACTACACCATCTACGACACGTCCACCGACAGGCTGCTGAAACGCAAAGCCCGCCTGCAGCACTGCCAGCGGGTCTCCCTCCGCGTGCTCAGCGAGCGCCTCCTGGGGATGTACATCCAGGTGAGTGAGGCAGCCCCTCCCCCCCGCCCTTCCCAGGCTGGGGGCCGCGGCACCCCTAGGAGGGTCTGGTCTGGGGGGCCCGGCCCTTCCCTCCAAGACACTGAACCCCATCGGGAGCAACAGAGCAAATATTTGGCCCCAGAGACACTGAGTCCCCTTAGCCCTGAGGGGCTGGGCACCTGTGAGAGGGGCCGTGTCTCCTTAGGGATTCCGGGGTCACGGGTGTTGATCCCGCACCTGCTGAACCAGAGGCTGGTGGAGAGACTCTTGCTTCCGGGGAGGGGAGGGCAGGCATCCTGGGGGCACAGGTGGCGATGGGTGGCAGACAGGAGACCAGATCTGGATGGAGTCCGAAAGGTGGCTGTGCATGGGGGCGGGCGGGAGACGGGGTGCTCGAGGGGGCAGTATGGGTCCCAGCCTGCCGGGCTGGGGAGCAGGGATCGTGCAAGACGCAGGAGCGGGGGGCCTGGGTGTGGGCTTCTGTCAGCCGTGAGGTACACAGGGCCAGGGACAGAAGGGCCGGCACACGGGTTCGCCCAACGGCACCTTCTCGGCCGGCTGAGCGAGTGACACTGTGGAAACCCTCGGTGACATATTCCTGGGGGCCAGTGAGCGCCCTGCAAAGCTGCTCCGGCCCCTCTGTGTCCTGTAGCAAGTCTGCAGTGCCATCGGCCACGGGTCTGAGCGCCATGAGGTCCTGCTGGTTCCCAGGATGCTGATGATGAGGTGCCTGGCCGGGTCCCGGACCCAGGCCTTCCTGCCCCCATCCCAGGGCTGATGGGGGGAAGCCAGGCCCGCCCCAGCCACCCGCTGTGTCCAGGGTGTCAGAGTCCTGGGGAGACCCACCCACCGGCCCACCCACCTCCGGGCCCGGACGGCGGGATGTGAGCAGGGAAGGGGGGGTCACACGAGGCCTGTGCGGGGGAGCCCGTCCCCAAGTCCCCTCTCTGTCCGTGTGTCTGCAGAGGAGCCAGTTCGGCCACAGCTCAGTGGAAGACGCCAAGGCGACCATGGAGCTCTACCAACTCTCCCGGAGGATCCGCAACCGCTGAGAGCCGCCCACCGGGCGGCGCCCGCTGGACTCGGCCCCTCCTCTGGGGGCCATGGGCCCCCCTGCAGGACAGCAGCTGCTTTGCCTCTGGAAAATGCATCCTTCGCAGTAAAATGCCTCTATATTTTCTCTAAGACGTCTCCGGTCCTCTTCTTGTCTTTCTCCTTCCTTCTCTCCGAGCCGGGGAGCGGTGGGCGGGGCCCGGTCTGAGTGATGCTGAGAGGGACCACGCGGACTTGAGAGTCGGGATGTGGGGGACGAGTGTCCGTTTCCTTAACACCCTGAATCCTGGGGTTGCGTGACTCACTGCCTCCTTTTCCCAGTGGCTTCCACGCCCAGAGAGGTGGCATTATTCTCAGGGGGTGGCGCCCGGCTCAAAGGTCCATCCATCCCATCCTGGAGTTGGTGTCACAGCAACGGTGAGGTGTGAAGCGAAGGCAGAGGGCCTGGGATGGGTGTCGCCCCTGGTGACCTTCACCGAGCCCGTGGACGCTAGAGTCTCAGAGAACGAGGCTGGAGTCCCGGTTCTGCCATTTGGCAGCGGCATGATACAGGGCGAGTTACTGAACCTCCCCGTGCCTCAGTTTCCCCGTCTGTCAAACGGGGAGCTCTTAACAATTCATAGGATTCTTGGGAGATGCTGCCTACGAAACCTCATCATCGCACGTGTCAGAGCTTAAGTACCCACCACGTGTCATGATTGGTGCTGGTGCTTGTCTCTGGACCACCTGAGGGTCAGGGGACCCCGGAGAGAGCAGTTGTGCCCAAGCTGGCCCTCTGAAGGTGGTGTCGTGTGTGGGGAGAAGGGGCCACCATTAGAATCGGCCTGGGCCTCAGGTTAGGATTTTCAGAGAGGAAGGGAGAGGGAGAGAGAAAAACATCAATGATGAGAGAGAATCATGGATCGGCTGCCTCCTGCACACCCCCTACTGGAGGATGGAGCCCACAACCCGGGCCTGTGACCTCCTAGTTTGTGGGTTGATGCTCAACCACTGAGCCACACTGGCTAAGCAAGAATGGCTGTGCTCTTTAGGATATCTGAGTCACGCCCGGGGGCTTTGTTAAGCAGCCCCAGTATCTGGAGATGCTGAGCCCACACCCCATTACTTTCTTTCTTTTTTATTATTATTAATATATTTTACTGATTTTTTTTTACAAAGAGGAAGAGAGAGGGATAGAGTCAGAAACATCGATGAGAGAGAGACATCAATCAGCTGCTTCTTGCACACCCCCTACTGGGGATGTGCCCGCAACCAAGGTGCACGCCCTTGACCAAAATCAAACCTGCAGACCCTTCAGTCTGCAGGCTGACGCTCTATCCACTGAGCCAAACCGGTTTCGGCCCACACCCCATTTCTGACTCAGTGGGTGCAGGAGGAGCCTCAGAATCTGAATTCCTAGCAAGTTTCCTGTCGCAGTTGCTCTGGCTGGCCCAGGACCAGGCCTCAAGAGGCACCGCCTAAGCGTCAGGTGGCTGAAACATGCAGCCAGGGTTCAGAGTCACTGCCCCAAGCGCTGAGGGCCACCAGGCCCGACTTCTGTCACTGGTCCAGCCCCTTCCCCTGCATCTCCCTTGCTGCCTGCTCATGCAGAGGGCCACTGCAGCGCTGCTGCAGATAAGGTTGAGGGCATAAAGGATTCGAACCCAGGCCCGTTGGACTCCCAACTAGAGTGCTTCCCACTTTGTTATGCTGTGCCTCCCAGTTCACACCCTAACCTCTGTGAACCAGGAAGTCTCCCTCCCAGGTAGGGGGGAGGGGGGGGGAGGTGCAGTTTGGCATTTTTCATGGCTCACTGCTGCCCTCTGCTGTTATGTGATTTTTGTAAACCTCCAAAGCGGCCTGCTGCAGCTGCCTTGTCTGGCCACCAGGTGGTGCTCTTGGTCCGTCTATCAGTCAGGCTGCGATGCAGATAGAATCAGCCTGAGCAATTCTGGGAGTGGGGGAGGTAGGGAGGAAGAGATGTGAGAGGCTGTGCCTGCAAAAATGGGCAGAAGGTAGCCCCAGGCTCCCCAACTCCCAGCAAGTTTCTTCCCACTGCCCCAGGTTTTCTTGAGAGATGAACTAGGATTCCCACAGGAAATGTAACCCGACTTCCTGCTTCTGGCTGAGGTGCTTAGACGTCCCCGAGGGGAGAGAAACACAGGCGTAAAGAGAGCATCAGCTTTAGAGTCAGGGCAGCCTGGCTCGAGTCTCACCTCTGAGGGGCTCAGTATTCCCATCCATCAAATGGGCTGAGCGAAGAATTGAGATCTCACACACAGGCTGCCCAGCAGGGCCCCATACACAACACCCACCACTACTGATCCTAATAAAAGCCAGGAGCTGCCTCTGGACCACCCCTCGAGACCACCGACCCAGCTCGGTCCTAACAGAAATAGTCTGTGCCTGCAAATACTGGGTCTAACTCAGTGGTCGGCAAACTCATGAGTCCACAGAGCCAAGTATCAACAGTGCTACGATTGACATTTCTTTGGAGAGCCACATTTTTTAAACTTAAACTCCTTCTAATGCCACCTCTTCAAAGCAGACTCGCCCAGGCCGTGGTGTTTTGTGGAAGAGCCACACTCAAGGGGCCACAGAGCTAAGGACATGGGCAGCATCCCCCAGGCCAGGACCTGAACGGTCAATGGCGTGGCTTTGGCAGAATGGACCGAGGCACAGAATCACCGCCTGCCACCTAACTCTGAAAGCCATCAGGAAGAATGGGGGGCGGGGGGAGAGAGATACATGCTGGAAAAGACCATCTAACTACAGCCCGGCCTCGCTGAGCACACCTGAGTCACCTCTGACACAGGCCAGCGTGCCACCTGCGGAGTGAGGGGCTGGGGGAGGCTGCCTGCGGCTCTCGGACCCCCTAGCCTCCCCGCATCTGCCAGCCCAGCCTGAATGGGGACAGGCACCCCTGCTCAGGGACAGGACTCTCTGCATTGACCTGCCCAACACCTCAGGCCCCTGCTCCCCACTGTCCCCCACCCCATCCGAGGGCCGCTGTCCCGCTGGCAGGCCCCGCCGGGTTCCCAGAGTGCCCGCTTCCTGCCCGGAGGGCCGGGCTGGGCCGGGCTCCGCGGCCAAGAGTCTTACTCACTGGTGGAACAATCTCTCCTCTATATGGAAAGAATATGTGCTCTCCCTGCAGGGAAGGGGGAGGAGGGGGGTTTGAGTAGCTCTGCCGAGACATGGAGGGGAAAGGTAAGCTTTGGGCTGGTCGCTGCACCCCGATTCCCAGCGAGCAAGCGGGGGTGGGAGAGGGTGGCAGACTCTGGCTGGGGCCTCGGCTTCAGGACGCAGAGCTGGTCCCTCACTCAGGGCTGGATGTCCATACACCTTCATTGTCGCGTCCCATTTGATGGCTTAAAGCAGGGGTCGGCAAACTGCGGCTCGCGAGCCACATGCGGCTCTTTGGCCCCTTGAGTTTTTAGCAAAGGCCAGTTTAGGAGGACCCTCATTTGTTCCGCCCTGCAGTCCTGTGAACTCCCCACAAGTTGTTCCCATTTTCACAGGCACAGAGAGGTTAAGCGACCGGCCCAAGATCACACAGACAGTAAGTGGCAGGGCTGGGATTTGAACCCGGGCCCACGGGTTCAGCCTCTTGAACCCTGCCCGGCATAGACCTTGCACTTTATCCCTGGAAAGGAGAGGGCAAGCCAATAGTTTCTCAGCACCAGCTGCCTGATGAGGTCATTCATTACCTTCATTCCATTTTCGGAGATTTTTTTTTTTTTAATATATCTTATTGATTTTTTTTTTTTTTTTTACAGAAAGGAAGGGAGAGGGATAGAGAGTTAGAAACATGCATGAGAGAGAAACATCCATCAGTTGCCTCCTCCTGGGGATGTGCCCGCAACCAAGGTACATGCCCTTGACTGGAATCGAACCTGGGACGCTTCAGTCCACAGGCCAATGCCCTATCCACTGAGCCACACCGGTTTTGGCCGATTTTGGAGATAGTATCATCATCCCTGTTTTACCAACAAGGAAACTGAGGCTCAGAGAGCACCGTATGGAACTTGCTCAAGGCCACACAGTGACTCCGTGACAGAGCCTGGGTTCGAATATAAGCCTGCCTCGCTGCAAAACGCGGCACATAATAGTAGCTCAATAAACGCCGGGCCCCTTCTGTCTACTCCGAGTCCAGAAGTCATCTCCTACACGCAGGTCTGGCCTGGCCTGGCCCCCTTCCCCCCACCTCTCTCTCACCTCAGCCAGACCACTTACTGTTGGCAAGGCGGCCAGAAAAAGCCAGAGAGAGCGAGGAGACCTTAGTCAGGGGCGGACTGGAGCCTCACGCCCTCCCCTTGGCCCACCCACCTCCCCGCAGGGGCCTCAGGCCGGGAGCCAGCGGAGCAGACAAGGGCCGCATGGATCGGCAGCCGGCGGCGGGCCCCCGGGGCGGGCAGCCAGGTGCCCGCGGCCGCAGGAGAGAAGAGCCCTCTTCTCTCTGCTCAAAGGTGGATTGAGGAGGGCTGGCCCCGTGATTTTTCCAAGAAGCTCGTCTAGAGCCAGAGAATGGGAACATCTGTGCCGTGGGGCTCGGCTCTGGATGCGGCTGAGGCCGCAGTCTGGGGCTGGCGTCAGCTGGAGACAGCCCCGCGCGGAGGCAGCTCTGGGCCGCTGGCCGGCCGGTGGGGCCCGCTGGCTGGCCTCCTCCCCGGAGACAGGGGGCCCAGGCCAGGCAGGGGGCGAGGAGAAGCCTGAGGCTGCGTGCCGGGCCTTCTCCATCACCTGCTCGTGCTAAGGAGCTGGAGAGGGCCCTGGCCACCCAGCAGGCGGGCCGGGGGCTATGGCTCCCTGTTCCAGACCCACACACCTCCCTTCCCCCTGCCTCTCAAGACGGACAATGAGGGCATCTCTTGCTTCCTTCACCAGCCTGCCCACCATGGCTACAGACCTCCTCTTCTCGTGACCCTTTTACCCAATTGATATATACGGAGTGGCCAGATGATGATGATCTCTGAACGCTTAATAATATGCCACTCAGTGTCTATCCTATAAGATAAAAGGCTAATATGCAAACTTTCCACTCAACCAGGAGTTCAACCAGCAGGCAGGCCGGACAACCGCCCATGTCCCCTCCCCCTGGCCAGGCTGGCTGGACCCCACCCATGCACAAATTCATGCACCGGGCCTCTAAT